ATGACTCTGAGGCGTACCACATCACACTATCAGATTGGCTAACATGACAAAACAGGAAAATGATAAATGTTGGAGAAGATATGGGAAAATTGGAACACTAATACATAGTTGGTGGAGTTGTGAACTGTTCCAACCATTCTGGAGAGCAATTTGGAACTATGCCCAAAGGGCTATAAAACTGTGCATGCCCTCTGACCCAGCAATACCATTTCTAGGTCTGTATCCCAAAGAGATCACAAAAAAATGGAAAAGGACTCACACGTACAAAAATATTTATAGCAGCTCTTTTTTTTTTTGGTGGCAAAGAATTGGAAATGGAGAGGATGCCCATCAATTGGGGAATGGCTGAACAAGTTGTGGTATATGAATGTGATGGAATACTATTGTGCTATAAGAAATGATGAGCAGGCAGACTTCAGAAAAACCTGGAAAGACTTACACGAACTGATGCTGAGTGAAGTGAGCGGAACCAGGAGAACACTGAACACAATAACAGCAACACTGTGCGACGATTAACTTCGATAGACTTAGCTCCTCTCAGCAATGCAATGACCCAAAAGACTCATGATGGAAAACACCATCCACATCCAGAAAAAGAACTATGGAGCCTGAATGCAGATCGAAGCACACTATTTGCTCTCTCTTTTTTTTGTTTGTTTTGTTTCTTTTCTTGTGGTTTTTCCCTTTGGTTCTAATTCTTCTTTACAACATGACTAATGTGAAAATATGTTTAATATGAATGTATATGTAGAGCCTATATCAGATTGTATACCATCTTGGGGAGGGAGAGGGAGAAAATTTAGAACTCAAAATCTTACGGAAGTGAATGTTGAAAACTAAAAATAAATTAATTATTTCAAAAAAAAAAAGATGGGCCTTTGTTTCAGAGAGAAGCACAAGGTGACCAAAAACAACTCACAGTTTTCCAAAGGCAATCCCAGCCCACTCTCCTCCTCCTGCTCAATTCTGGTCCCAGCTCTTTTTCCAGCTGCAGTGCTCATGCAAGATACACATACAATTGGACCAGCTCCACAGAATACTTATTACAGACTAGACCACAGACCCTCTGCACGTACTGGTGTTTTCCTGTGCAGTTAGAGGTAGATGAGCCTAATCCTCATTAACCAATCTGACTTTGTAATCTTCTGAGGCTTGATGCAAAGAGCACAATGAATCTGCAAAGAAGAGAAAATGGAAGACCTCACCCTTTAGAGGGAATCCCTCTTCCATATGGACACTGTCTGGCCATCCATCATGACAATGGCAAATACTTTTGTCAAACATACATCTTTCTGTTATGTGTCTCATTTCATACTAATAATCAAAAGGAGTCTTATTTATTTTGGCATATGCACAAGAAAAACTTTGCTAGAAGAGAGGCTAAAAGGGGGTGTTTTGCTTTGAATCAGATGGGTTGGTTTTTGTTTTTTACAGACAATAACTAATTTTTCTCCACCGTTTCTTCTTGTTTTTTTAATAAATTTTTACTGCTATTTTATGTTTCATATATCACTATAGTTATACCAAGTATCCCTCCTCCTCCCTGAGAGCCATTTTATATGACAAATTGTATTTTTTAAGAGATAAAAATCAACACAACTGATCGATTCGTTGAAAAAGTCCGAAAACGTGGGCTCATGTGACTCTCCCTCCACAAAGGGGTAGATTGAAGGTGTCTTTGCATCTCTCTTCACTGGAGTTCTACTGGATCTTTATAATTGTGTTACTTTTACTGGTGCTTTTTTGGTGTGTCATTTCTCTGTCCATTTGCATTGTTGTAATCACTGTGTAGATTGTTTTCTTGGCTCTGATCACTTCTGCATCAGTTCACAGAGATCCTTCCAGGCTTCTTTGTACTCATCACACACATTCTTTCTTACAGGACAATTATCTTCCATTCTGTCCATTTACCACAATTTCTCTAGTCATTCCCCAATCAAGGGGCATAAAACTTTGTTTCCAATTCTTTACTACCACAAAAAGTGCTGCTAGAGTCAAAGTGTATGGACATTTTAGTCACTTTATTTGCATAATTCTAAACTGCTTTCCAAAATGGCTGCACCATTTCACAGGTCCACCAAAGATGTATCAGTATGCCTAGCCTTCCCTAACCCCTCCAACATTGACTGTTGCCATTTTTTGTCATTTTGGCCAATATGCAGGGTACGAGATGAAACCTCAGGGTTATTTCAATTTACATTTCTCTTAGTAATTTGAATAATTTTTTCATGTAATTATGAATGCTTTGCAGTTCTTTTGTTGATTGACATGGCTTGACCATATCTGTTGGATAATGGCTATAGATATATAAATACATACACATTGTTTATACATCTTAGATACCAAAATCTTTTCAGAGAAATTTGATATTTTTCCCCCATTTAATCATGTCCCTTCTTATCCTAGCCATTGTCCTCAACTAATCCTCACTAATATTGTCTGGGCAGAAGAGTTTCTGTTTCAAATAATCAAAGTTATCTATTTTATCTTTTGTAATTGCTTCTATCCCTTATTTGGTTAAGAATACATCTCCTATCCATAGCTGTGAGAGGTATATATGTTTCTTTCCTAATTTTTTTATAGTATCATCTTTAATATTAAGGTCACACATTCATTTAGAATGTATTGTGGAGAGGGGTAGGAGGTAGTGTTGGTCTAAGCCTGATTTCTGCCAGACTACTTTCTAGTTTTCCTAGAAGTTTTGATCAAATAGGAAGTAGGTAACTCATGTTTTCCACTTTACCAAACATTGGGTTCTTGAGTTCTTTTTTTCTGACCCTTCCTTGTCTAGTCTGTTCTATTGCTCTATTTCTCTGTTCTTTAGCCAATACCAGATGGTTTTGATAACTGCTGCTTTATAATATAGTATGAGGTCTGGAGGTGTGAATTCTGCTTTGCACTTACTTTTTTTCCTCACTTCCCTTGAGATTCTAGATATTTTACTGTTCTGTAAAGTATTCCTTTGGTCATTTGATTGGTATAGCTTTAAATGTGTAAATTAAGTTCAGCAGTTCTGCCATTTTTATTATATTGTCACAGCCTAGCCACGAGCACTGAATATTCTCCACCTATATAAGATGCTCTTTATTACTTTAATGAGCACTTTGTAATTGAATCTACACAAGTCTTTTAGGCGCTTAGGGAGGTTGATCCCCAGATATTTTATGCATTTTGTAGTTATTTGGAACGGAATTTCCTTTTCTATTATTGCTTCTTGTGTTTTGTTATTATTATCTAGAAATGCGATTGATTTTTGAGGATTTAATTTGTAGCCTGCAACTTTGCTGAATGTGGGGGTGGGTGTTGTTGTAAGCATGGGTCATGTCCTTTGGTGTGCTAGTCCATCCTGGCTGCCAGTAGCCTGTGGGGTGAGGGAGAGGTGATGAGTGAGCTTAGGATCAGTGAGCATCAGTTCATATGTCTGAAGGGGTTTTTTTTTTTTACCTTCTTTTGGGTTCTGCATATCTCAGACCATGGAAACAGCTGAAGTTGCTTTATCTTTGGTGCATAATTTCTTTACTGGAGAGGTTTGAGAGGTCAGAGGAAAGAGAAGAAATCTAGTTTCTCATGTGACCCAGAAGTTGCAATAGACTCCCCTTCTTGTTTGGTCCCCCACCCCCATTCTCTTCCATAAGATTCCCAAACAAGTGTATATTCTGAACTGGTGTTATCCTCAGCTGCCAGATGTTTCCATTTGGCTGAGAGATTAAGCATTTCCTTGCTGGGAGAGTTCCAGCATAATTTTGGTCTACTCTTTATGTCAAGTGGTTTACACTGGTTAAAATCCCTTCGGAAACAGTGATAATATGTATTGGTCTACTCTTTTATTCATTTCTCATTTTTTGGCATCAACAGCTCATTTAAATAGGTCAAGATAGTTTTCTCAATTGAATACCAAACTTTTTCATTCTTAACCTTTCTTCTAATTTGTTTATTGATTTTGATCTTTTTGTTAACAAAGGTCTTCATTTTTTACTGACTGCACTCTTGGACTTCATCATGGTCTCAAGAAATTTATCATTCTAAAAGATCACATGAACTCTGAAACCTCCTAGCCACCCACTCCCCACTCCTTGCCCCAGGCTCCTCCCCACCCTCCATTTAGGAAGGTCACAGGAGCAAGTCATCTCATTTCCTGCCTCACTAAACTCCTTTGGATTTCAGTATAGTGCATGCCTAGTATCCCTCCCTCTCACTCACCTGGTTTTTATGTGTTGTTTTCTCCCCTTAGCTTGTTAGCTCCTTGAAGGCACCAACTCTCTTTGTATCCCCAGCACTTAGCATAGCATCTGATAGATAGTCAGTGCTGAATAAATGTTTATTGACTATTGGTGACTACTGACTTCCTCGTGAAGATCTGTGTCGCAATCACAGGCAAGACACATCCTCTACAGTTGGTTCCACTGATATGTGTGTGTGTGTATGTACACATGTATATAGACATATATGTGTGTGTGTATATATACATATATATGTATATATATGTATATATATATATATATGTATATATACATATATATATGTATATATATATATGTCACTGTGCTTACTATACAGACAGAGCAATTAGATTCAGAGAACATGGCTTGATAGGAAGGAGGGCAGGGGAAGGAGGTGACATTAAAAGAGGAAGATATTAAGTATCAGAGAGAAAGCAGGCAGAAGGAAGAGGGAGCTATTTCTTTCTATTGTATTGCTAGTAACATCATCGGAGTTTATCTATAGAATTAACAGGATTGTAGATGAATACTTCCTCATCCTTGCTGATTATTCCTAGCATTAGCATAACACTGGTATGAGCAGGAGAAAAGTGAAGCAAATCAACTTATTTTGAACCAGAATGGGGGGGGAAATCCAAACAATTGTTCACAGGAATTTTCTAGGCACACTCATGATTTAGACAGAGAATTCATTTTGCTGACATTACAAGCAAAATTTAATTTAATTTGGAAGTGAGGTTTATTTCTAGTATGTTTACATTATTACACAGTAAACATTACCTTGAATTCTGACAACCATTCCTCCACAACCCCTTTCTCTGTCGTCAACATCTTTCCACATCTGTTCAAAGCCTTTCACCTAAAATGAATGGACAAAATTGTTAAAACTGAGTGTTTTCCTTATAGCCAACTGATAGAAGAAACTGCACAATTTAAGTTACCTAATTTCAATAATTATATCATGTTATTAAATAAAATTATTTAATCCTTATTGACTTTCTACTTCTCGGCCAGAAAATTCGCCCTGGAGGTATCAGCCCTTTAATCTCCTAACTTCTGCCCTTCCTCTACTATCCCATCTGGGCTGGTGACTATACCACCTGGCCCACTATTTCAGGCAGGTCCCAGCCATGGGTGACTTTATTACCTACTTCCTCCCTGGTCATCTTTTCCATTGAGTCATCAACTATCTTCCCATCCTGCTTATCTCTCCAGTTTGAGAACCATGATCAGATTAATTCTGCTACTAGTCCTGGAGGGGTAGTACATCAAACTCCTTCCCTACGGCCCCCCCCTCCCACATAATCCCTTGAACTTTCTGATCAGTCCTCCAATGCAGGCATCCCTTGTTTATGCATGTGGTTTTCCCCATTAGGATACAAATTATTTTAGAGTAGGGATTATCTTTACTGTTTATACTTATTTCCAGAGCTTGGCATAGTCCTTGGCACACAATAACACTTAAGACAAGTTTTTTTTCATGTATTCACTATTAAGATCAATGTGTGTATATATATATATATATATATATGTATGGGACAAGTGAAAGTTTCTCATGTGAAAGGTAAGCTATGCTGCTGCAAAATGTAGTGAGGCTTCAGCATGAGCTGGGCCTAAGTTTCACTTTCGTTTTGGGGGAAGGGGGTTGTGCACCAGCTGCCCACCCCCCTCCCTTGTTTTGTAACCACCCCCTCTGTTGTTCTGTGCCTTAACTTTACCAAATAAGGCAATCCTTTAGCTCCCAAGCTAGTTTTGAGTAAAATGTATCTCTTGGGTTCTACATATAGACTGTGAGGTCTCTTGCCTCAGCCAATGAGGATAAAGAGATTGAGACAGACAGGTGGGGAGGGGGCTTTTTGGAGTGGTTTGTCTAAGACTATATATACTGCTTGCTACTGTTTGTGCTTCGCCTCTCTACACCAGTCTGCCCTGGGTAGGAGATGCACAACTCTCGCCCAAGACTTGCTAGAATAAAACCTGTTTTCTACCTGGAGATACCTCTAAGTTTTTATTTGGGTAAGTGGTCTCTATTCCACTCATATACAATACAGAAAATGTTAGGATCCTGACAAAAGCATCACAGTCACCATGCATAAACATTGCAAAATTTTTTAGTCAGCTTCAGTAATAACAGCTGCAAGTCATATTAGACATTTGTTTTCCCTTGATAACAATTTTAAAATTCCAGAATTAATTGGAAATTTAATGGAAATGGTAGGGGAAAAAACACTAGAAGTACAAATGTATAAAAAGAAAAACATTCATACAAAGTTGATTTTGAACCAAGTACTAATTAAATTTAACATATTTTTAAGATAATATTTTAGTCCTTTGTGGCAGTGAAAACATCTTGAAAAACACTTTAAGAGTATTCCACGAAAAGATGAAGGACTTCCAATACCAGCAGTTTTGAGTTATCTCTTGCACACATGGGCCTCAGTACCACTGTTCCCTATATTTGAAGCCATCTTTCCATGAACATTGTATCTGGGGGACAGTATGTCCCACAATTTGGGGGAGAATGTCTTGTACCAACTGTTCTTCCTATACCATCCTAGTCAATGTTTGTTTGCTAAAAGCTATCTAACAGCACTGGATTCTGGTTAAAGAGAAGAATACTTGTTAGGGCTTATGAGCCTACAGTACCAGAAGTATAGCCACAGGGTTATTAACCCCTAGAATCAAAGGGTGGCTACTATGCTTTGGGGTTCTAGCCCGGGAGCATAAATGCAAGTTCTAAGAATAACTCAGAGAGAGTTGTTAAATAGTTAAAACTGGAGAAAAACTGCTAAAATTAAAGAGGAAAAAATCTAAAACAAACAATTTTTCGGAAAAATTTCTATTCAATTCCTTTAGAAAACGTAATAGAATTTGATTTTGATTAGCAAAAAGTAAATTTAATATGGAGAAATAGTTACCTGAAGATAGGAGGGGCGGGATGTGATAGGAGGCGCGGGATGTAATATCAGGTGCATGAACTTCACAAAGTTCTGTTTTCCCAGAGACTAGCAAGGCTAGTCTATGAGAAGAACTTAAATGGTAGTTATTTAGGGGCAAAGAAAGGCACCAGAGATCATAACAACCTTTGAAGAAAAGTACTTATGACATGAATGAATTCATGAAAAGGTGTTATTAAGAGCTTACTGAATGTGCCAGGAACTGTGCTAAGTGAGGGGCGTGGAAAGAAAGGCAAGAGTAGTTCCTGCTGTCTAGGAGCTTACTATCTAATGGGAAAGACAATGTGAAAATGACCGTGTGCAAGAAGGACAATATAAGCTATAAGAGCAATGACCTCAGAGGGCAGGCACTAGCATATTAGACAGTAGGAGTGTAGCTGAGACTTGAGGAATCAGGAGGAGGAGAAGAGGGTTAGACTGCAAGCACGGGGGAAGATGGCCAGCAAAAAGGCCCAGAGTCAGGATAGCAAGTGTCATTTGTGAGAAACACAGAAGAAGCAAATGTCACTGGGTTGCAGAATATGTAGAGGGGAGTGAAGTAGAAGATTGGAACAGCTGGAGTGGACCAGGTTATGAAGAGCTTTAAAAAGCCAAACAGAAGCTTTTCCATTTGATTCTGGAGGCAAGAAGTAACCACTTCAGTTTACTGACTAGGGGGATGGCATGGTCAAACCTGTACTTCAGGAATATCAATTGGATAGCTAGGCAGGCACACTTACCAGCAACTATTGCAATAGTTCAGGCATGAGGCGATAAGGGTCTGCACCAGGATGGGGGGCTATGTCAGAGGAGATAGGGGGGAATATACCAGAAATTTACAGAAGTAGGATCAACAACAACATTAATCAATATATTGGATGGGGGGAGCAACAAAAAAATATGAGGAATTGAGGATGGCACCTAGGTTGGGAGCCTAGGTGACTGGGAAGATGGCGTCCTTAACAGGAACAGGGAAGTCAAAAAGAGAAGAAAGTTTGAAGGCAAAGATAATGAGTTCTATTTTGGCCATGTTGAGTTTAGGACGTGTATGGGATAAGATGTGTATGTGCAGCCAGGTGGTGCAGTGGATACAGCAATGGGCCCAGAGTCAGGAAGATTTGAATTCAAATCCAGCCTCAGATATTTATTAGCTGTGTGACCCTGGGCAAGTCACTTAAACCCCTATTTGCCTCACTTCCTCATCTGTAAAATGGGGAACCTGGGAGAAAGGAAATAGCAAACCATTCTAGTATCTTTGCCATGTAGAGTCAGACATGACTGAACAACAAAAACAACAAATGGAATGTTCATTTTGATATACCCACTAGGCAGTTGGAAATGGAAAACTGAAGGCTAAGAGAGGTTCGGGTTGGATAAACAGTTTGAGAATACGTACAAAGATGATAATTAAATCCACAGGAGCTGATGAAATCATGAAGCAAACAGCACAGAGAGAGAAGAGGTCCAGGACAGAGCCTTGGGGAACAACCATGGTTATCAGGCATGACCTGGATGAAGATACAGCAGAAGAAAATGAAAAAGTTAGGTTGGAGAATTAGGAGTAGAGCTAGGAGAGAGAAATGTCCTGAAAACCTAGTGTGAAGAATGGATATAGAAGAAGAGGGTGATCAGCAGTGTCAAAGGCAGCAGAAACATCAAGAAGGATAAGGAGTGAGAAAAGGCCCAATTGGTCAATTAAGAGATCACTAGTAACTTTGGAGAGAGCAAGTTAGTTGAAGGATGAAGTCAGAAGCCAGACTCTAGAGAGTTAAGAGAGTGGGAGGAAAGGGACTGAAGGCCACAGTTGTAAATGGCTTTCTCAAGGAATTTATCCGTGAAAGGGAAGGGTATGATAGGATGACAGCTAATGGTGATGGATGGATCAATGGAAGGAAGGGGGAGGAAGTAATGTAGAACATCTGTGGAATAAGGAGGTGTAAAATAGCTACTGTGGAGAGTCTGATAAACAGCCAAAATGAGGTCTTTTAAACTCTAGCTTTTTCAAAATGAGCAGCTAGGTTTTTTTCTCAACTGAAAATTCAGGAAACAAAAGTGTGACAATGTGGCTGCTCACTCTTCTAGTACGTCCTCCAACCTGACTCAGTGTGGAATTTCACTGAGTCATAGAATGTGAAACCTGGAAAGGACTTCAGTGGCATCTAGTGCCACCCATACTTAAAGCTTTACGACCCAGTGGTCGTCTTAAACAGCACATGTGAAGACACTCTTCAAAATAGTCAAGACTTCGAACTACCTGTGTGGCTCTAGAAGACTGTTACAAGGCAGGTCTCTCTCTTCTCCTGTTTCCCATTGTTACGAGTGCCTGTTGTGAGACTGCTACACTGTGAAGGGTCTTTAACAGTGATATGATGACAGTAAGAGCTGTAAATTTCTATACTTAAATCACTTTATATCATTAGAAGACAAAGCCAAGTTTTTGGGGTGGGGGGAAAAGGAATGGAGGAGAGAGAGGAACATATTACAACCTGGAAAACTTTGTTATACAGGAGTTTAATTTTTACAAGATTTATTAACTATATTACTGTATATCATCTGTCATTTTCAGATATGATGCTACTGACATCAGTTATTACATCTCTAACATGAAGGTGTGCCTGAGAGGACAAGACCGAACTGAGTCTATAAAGTAGAAACAATCTATACTCTCACTAAATAAAAGGGGGAGGAGGGACAGAGAAAGGTGACTGTTGAAGAAGACAGGAATGGGGTTAAAGCTTTTCACTGTTTATTAGGAAGCAGTGAGAGAGAATTTAATTCTTGCTGACACAGTCAATGTGTTTCTACTCTCCCAAGTCTGAAACAACTCACAGTAGCAATCACTATAAAAATGACAGCACAACTAAAGAGAAGTGGTATCTTAGCTAGCCAGTTAGGGGGAAGGAAGCAAAGAGAAAGGATGGAA